TTAAAATTCCTTGAAATAGTTTGGAAATTCTAACCCGACTGTCCAACCTTACAGAGTTGGTTAAATAAATGATGGTTTACCCATGCAACAAAGTATTGGGCAGCCACTAAAAATGATGCTGTCGAATGTGTTAGTCTGACTACATTAATGGCCTCAATTCTTCACTCCTGTGTCCGTGTAACCTTGCCTTGAACCCCACCCCACCCCCACCGCTCTGGGCAGGGCGTGCTCCCTGCGTTTGGACTCTGGGCTCGCCATGTGACTGGCTTTGGCCAGCAGAATATTAGCCAGAGTGAGGCATGCACAGGCCTGCTTTGCACAACCACTGCCTGGAGAACGTGCCTGGCCTGTGGGAGGACGGTGACAGGCCAGTCCCAGCAGTCACCTTCCCCCCTGGCAGCGGGTGGCTGCCCAGTCCTGTGGTGACCTCCACCTCCGCAGGTCGGCAGCTGACCTGCGCTGACCTCAGGTGCACGAGCGAGCCCACGAGGTCAGGCCAGCCAGATGGCTGCGCCCACACGCTCGAGCTAAGAGTCCCTTACACTGCCCCATGGCTTTGTCTTGTTCCTCACACAGCACATTACCCGCTCCCCGACTTCTAGCCCCACAGAGGGCCCTTCTGTTCTGTGGTTTATATCAGTAAAAGCATCCACCACCCTCGTTATATTAGCGACATCCACAAGACGTAACTGGGGAATAAAGACGAGAAGGTACAGACACCCAGAAAGAAAACAGTTCAAATCCCAAATCACAAGCCCAGCAGTACCCCACTCACGTGTTAGGATCGATTCTCTCTTTGCGGCTATGGATACAGGGAGGTAAATGTGAAATTCATTTACCAAAATAGCAGCACCGTCTACATACGAAAACTTGCGTCTTAAACTCACTGCATCATTAGCATCACTCCACGCCACAATGTTCAGATGCAAAGCCGCAGGTCAGTGGCGGCCCTCGGTGTGGTGTGCCTGGCACTGGGCTGAGCCTTATTTACTGTGACTTTGTTCCGCACAGGCCGTGTCTGCCCGTCCCCGGGGACCTCACCACCCGTTTACCCGATCATCTCCTGAAGCCCCGTACATACGAAAACTTGCGTCTTAAACTCACTGCATCATTAACATCACTCCACGCCACAGCGTTCAGATGCAAAGCCGCAGGTCAGTGGCGGCCCTCGGTGTGGTGTGCCTGGCACTGGGCTGAGCCTTATTTACTGTTACTTTGTCCCGCACAGGCCGTGTCTGCCCGTCCCCGGGGGCCTCACCACCCGTTTACCCGATCATCTCCTAAAGCCCCA